CTCTTGTTGGATATGTAAAAACATACAGTGATGCGGCAAAAAGTCTGGGTGCAGATGTTCTGGCTAGATGAGGCAGGGCTGGGGGTGCTCTGACACGTTACTGGGTCCGACTTGGCTGATCACAACTGGGAAACTTTGAAAAAACCCATTTTCCTGGCTGTATCCCATCCTACAGAAATGAGCTGGGTTTTGTCTTAAAAAAAAAAAAAAAGGGGGTATTTTTAAAAGAATATTTTCCTAAAACTGTTCAGTGCATAGTTGTAGCATAAAAAATGAGAGAGAAAATTATTTTGTACCTTCTCTTCTCCCAAATACATCAGGATGAACTCTAATGCTCCAACAGGGGCGCTTGTCGAAGAGTTGAGAATCTTCTTTGTGAAAATAACTTTTAAGATATGTTTTTTGATTTATTTTTGTTTCTGTGATAACAGCCCACGAAATGGAGTGTTTTTTCTTTAAATAAATTGTTATAAAACATAAAACTTCAAGATATGCAACAATGCTATCTTGGATTGGGTCTATAAAGTAGTTTACACATTCAATTACTAGCTTTCACTTCAAAGACACATTTTTAGTAGAGTATCAAATTTTAAAAGATGACATGCTTTCAAAATCTAAATGGTTTTGGAATTTCCTTTTTTTAAAAATCACATTTCGGCTGGGGATATAGCTCAGTTGGTAGAGTGCCTGCCTCGCATATACAAGGCCCTGGGTTCAATCCCCAGCAACACACACACACACACACACAAATAATCATTTTAAAAAAACTCCCCTGGTACCACATCAAGTACAACTGCTGCCCAATTGATCCTTAATTGGAATATCAACAGCTAAGGAAACAGAATGTGCTGTAATTAAGCAGTCAAATGTAACTGTACTTAATGTCACCTTTTCTATTAGTTTCCTGAATTCACTGTTCATTAAGGTTTTCATAAAATCAGCCTTCTACTTAACCATCTGTTCGGCTTTGTTTAAAAGAAAAAAAGCACGGGCATGAATCACACCGCACAGGGTAACTCTGTCACCAATTCAAATGCTGGGACGTGGCGGTAAACAGGACAGAAAACACAAGCTAGCACGCTCAAAGACGCGCTTCAGGTCTTCACAGGGAAACCGGGAGAGGTAGGGGGGTGGTCAGAAGAGACCCCCACAAAGCTGGCTGAGCTCAGCAGGGCAGCCAGGCAGGAGCAAGCCCAGCACAGGGCCAGCAACTGCACCAGGGAGGGACAGAAGGCAGGCAGCCTGGGCTGAGCCCAGGCACTTAGCCACTGAGCCACATCCCCAGCCCCTTTTATTTTTTACTTTGAGACAGGGTCTTGCTAAGTTGCTAGGGCCTCACTGAGTTGCTGCGGCTGGCATGGAACTTACAATCTTCTTGCCTCAGTCTCCCAAGTTGCTGGGATCACAGGCCTGTGCCAACACACCTGGCTGCCATCAAGGAGTTTTTAAACAGGAATGAACGAACCAACCTACTTTCATTTTTTGCTGAAGTCATATTTGCATTACATTTACATTTAAAATGTTTTAGTACTGGGGATTGAAACTAGGGTGCTTTACCACTGAGCTACATCCTCAGATCCCCCTAACTAGCTTTGTTTTTTTTTCAATTTTTATTTTAGGTCAGGGCCTCACTAAGCTGCTGAGGCAGGCCTCATACCTGCAATCCTCCCGTGTCAGCCTCCTGGGTCACCATACTTATATTCTCAAAACTAAAAATCTCGGCGCTGGGGATGTGGCTCAAGCGGTAACGCGCTCGCCTGGCATGCGCGGGGCACTGGGTTTGATCCTCAGCACCATATACAAATAAAATAAAGATGTCGTGTCCACCGAAAACTAAAAAACAAATAAGCACTATCCTAGCATAGGCAGGGGCCTAGGTTCCATCTGGAGGACCACAAAACCCTTCCTGCTGAACGGACTGCCTGTTTCCCCTTCCCCCACTCTTCTGCAGTACAGGGACAGAACCCAAGGGCGCTCTACCACTAAGCTACATCCCCACCCTTTTCATTTTTTATTTTGGGTCAGGGTCTTGTTAAGTTACCCAGGTTGGCCTGGAACTTGTGATCCCCCGCCTCAGACTCCAGAGTTGCCAAGATTGGTGTGCACCGCCACACCTGGCCCGGACGGCTCATCTCTCTCTAAATCAAGCTCTAGGAGACCTCCTACCTTTACCACACAGAAACACTTGCTCACATATAAACATGCTTCTAAACTAGGATGGCCACAACAAAAATAGAAACATTCATAGGTCTCAACAGAGATCATGCCAAGGGGCTGGGGTTGTGGCTCAGTGGTAGAGCACTCGTCTGCTATGTATGAGGCACTGGGTTCGATCCTCAGCACCACAAAAAAAAAAAAAAAAAAAAAGATCACACCAAGCAGTAAGTAAAAATTTTTAAAAGGAAATAGCAGAAGATAACTTTTTACTTTTTTGGTATCGGGAATTTGAACTCAGGGGTGCTTTACCACTGAGCCACATCCCCAGCCTTTTCTTATATTTTACTTAGAGACAGGGCCTCATTGAGTTGCTTAGGGCCTTGCTAAGTTGCTGAGGCTGGCTTTGAACTCATGATCCTCCTATCTCAGCCTCCAGAGCCACTGGGATTAGAGGCCACCACACCGGGCATGATAACTTTAAAAGATGATAGGACTCCTTGGGCATGAAAGTGTTAATCTTCTAGGAGTAAAACATGTGACGTTTCAAAACCTGACTGACAATCTTTCGCTAACAAAGGGGATGATCCAGCAAAACTTTGTCTGATAGTTGTAGTTTAAAAACCATTCTGCATTTGAATAAGCAGCAACTAAATTTTTAATAAAAATTTTAACTGCTAATAAGAGAAGATCATTATTCAACCAAAATGACCCAAGTTAATTAGCCTAAGATGACCAGTTCCCTTCAACTGCTTTGTCCTCCTCACTCCTGGACGCGCTGTCGTCCTCCAGCATCCTGGTCTCGCCTTCCAGGGTCCTAGCCTGGTCTTCACTGCAGAGGCCCGCCACCTACTCCCCCACTCTCACCTGCCCCGTTCCAGGACCTCCAAGTCCAGCAGGCTCCAGGTCCTCATCCTGGCCCCAGTCTTCTGGATGGCATGTTCGACCCATCAGCCTGATAGATTATTTGTCCTAGGACCAAATTTTCTTTCCTAGATCAATCTCTCCTTCACCCTCCGCTGCTTTTCGACTGGGCCCCAGCAGCCAAACGCAGCCTTCTCTGCGCCAGCCGGTGTGACGCCCTGACTCAGCCGCTTCGCGGTGCACCCTTGTCCAGGGCTTTCCGCGCCTCTCCCCCTCCTGGGCAGCTTCACGGTGGGTCTGCTGTCTAACACCTGCTCCTGGCTCTCTGTCCCAAGGCTACTACCCTCCTGGCCCATCCTGAGCAGCCAGAACCATCTTCCCGAGGCCAGGCCCTGGCCACGCCACACCCCAGCTGAACAGCTCTGACATTTGCCTCAGGAGATTCTGAAAGATTCTGTCAGTAAGTCAAGTGACAGGGACAGAAGTTGGAGGTTTATTTGTTGATGGATTTTAGTTTCTCCAAACCCAGAAAAGCAAAGATACACTATCAGTGGGATCTCAAAGCGGAGTGGTCCAAATAAACAAAGTTTTACCTTCAGGGTGATCACCACCCTTTTCTCAAACCACTTTCTGGTTCGTTCACCAACCTTTATGTTCTAAAGGCTCAATTATCCCAACACGGGCTCCACGCTCTCATGCTGGCTTCTTAGAAAACCTCAAACTTCTTACTAAACAGAAATGGCACACACCATGATGCCTACCCTGCCCACTTTGTGTGCAAACACACACACACACACGTAGGAGGCTATAAAGTTTGAAAAATTTTGGGACTCCAAAAACATTTGAAAATGCCTGCCAGACAGTCACAGCAAATGTTCTTTTACGAGACTGCGCTTACACATCTCTGAATCCATGACTTGCTACCTCATTTTCCAGACAATTAACTAGTTTTATACTATTTCTGTGACAAGCATCCTAAAAAGGAAAAGAAAGAAGACATTTCCTGGGTGCCTACTGTAAGCCAGGGCGCTGCTCTGAACTGAGTAATCTGCAGTCACCCACAAGATATCATATTCAGCTGACTATGGGGCCCAAGCCTGCAATCCCAGCCACTTGGGGGCTAAGGCAGGAAGACCACAAGCATGAGGCCAACCTGGGCAAGACCCTTCGCAACTCAGAGACCTCAGGATTGAGTGCCTGGGTTCGAGGCCCAGCAGCACACACAATTACCTCCACCCTGTAACGACACGGAGAGCTGGAAGACGAAGTGGGTGACAGAGCACTTACAGTGGGTCACCACCCAACTGCCAAGCTCTCATCACTGTCTTTCCACACGGACAGCAATCCAGTCAAGAAGCTGAGATGGGGCTGGGCTGGGCTCAGCCGTAGAGCACTCGCCTAGCAAGTGCGAGGCCCTGGGTTCGACCCTCAGCACCACATAAAAATAAGTAAATAAAATAAAGGTATTGTGTCCAACTAGAACTGAAAAATAAATATTACCAAAAAAGAAGGTGAAGATTTCATAAATTTCTAGTTTCTATTTTTAAAAAAGCCTAAGATGTTAAAACAAAAACATTTAAAAACAAATTTTCTAAAGTACACTCAATGTCTAAGTGTAAAAATACTAATTAAACCAACAATATCACACATTTCGACCTACTTGTCCATTAACATGGTAAAGAGATTCACACAGCCCAGAATGGTGGTGAGCACCTGTGATCCCAGCGGCTGAGAAGGAACACGAGTTCAAAGCCAGCATCCGCAACTTAGCGAGACCCTGTCTCTAGATAAAATATTAAAAAAGGGTTGGGGATGTGGCTCGGTAGTTAAGCGCCCCCAGGTTCAATGTCTGGTACCAAAAAAAAAAAAAAAGGATTCACATAGAATCTTTATTCACTAAGTTTGTAGCAAGTCTGTGTATCCAATCAAATGGGGGAAATACACTACTTCTATTTCTAAGAATTTTTCTAAACAATACTTACCTTTCTTTTGTATGAAGATCCTAAGCAGCGGGTTGGCTGTGGACACGGCCTTGTGATAGTTGTCGTCGTTATTGATGGGCAGTAAGTCCCCGTGGATGTCGGCATAGCCCACCAGCACTTCCACATTGGGTATCTTATGAACATGCTGCAGGAGGCCATAAAACTCCTCAAATTTTCCAGGTTTTGATCTTTCCAGTGAAAACCGACGAAACTCAGCTCCAAACTACAAACACAACATAGTGATTTTAGGGGGAAAAAAAAAAAGTAACAGAGGGATCCAGTTTGAAAACACACGGCACAGAAGCACACAAGCACAGCAGTGTTCCCCTTAATAAAGAAGATGGTCTCTCGTCAGCAGCCTCATTATCAGATTCCAAAACAGAAAAATGGCACAAGACTATGCCCCACTGCTGGTCTCTGAAGGGCACTCTCAGAGACGCAGGCCTCGCCCACTCCACAGCGCCCAGGCCTCCCTGGGCGCTGCCCTGCAGTGGCTCAGCCCAGAGCCTGCCTGGAGTCCAGACCCACAGCAGTGCTCTCCTCACTCTGCCGGGCCTCGGAGGACGGAGACATGCTCAGCCTTTATTCCGACCACTAGTAGAAAGCATCTGAGTTTCTTTTCCCGTAAAAGGAACTACCATCTCATGGGATGTGGCAAGAATCAATAGCAAAATATATAAAAAGGACTTTGAGCTCTTTGACAGGAAGGTCTGATGCAAGTGGGGGCACCACGTGAGGAACAGGCAGGCAGCGGCCGTGCTCCGCGCTGCTGTGCCTGCCCAGCTGGTGTGCCTGCCCAGCTGGTGTGCCTGCCCAGCTGGTGTGCCTGCCCAGCGGCCCCGGCTGGAGCCCAGCACTGCCCCAAGTAAAAAGTACAGAGATAAGAACCTTCCCTGTGTTAAGGTAGAAACAGGCTTTATTAATACATCAAATGCACTGGCCAATTAGTGCAAGAAGTGTTTACGTGCTTAGCAGGTGCTGGACCCTGGGGATTGCAAGGCTTGGGCCTGCTTCAGAAGCTCCCTAATTAGTGGGCAAAGGGGATAATTACTGTAGGCAGGCACTGAGGGATCACAGATAAGAAGGAAGACACCTCCATCAGTGTCTCCCCTCATCTTCCTGTTGTGATTTTCAAGACTGCCTCCTGACACCTCTGCCCTCCCAAGGCCAGTTCACTGCAGTGTTCTTAGTCAAGACCGAGGACTGCCTTCACCCAGTCCGCCAACGGAATCTGGAACTTAATGTGGGATCCGCAAGAAAGGTTCATCAGCCTTCCTTGAAGAGTGTCCCAGTCACTTAAGCTTGGGAAATGCTACCTAACTTGAATCACCCTCTTACAGACATAATAAGGGCTCAGTTAAGTGGCTAGGGGTAGGGCTCAACGGAGCACCTGCCTAGCATTTCCGAGGCTCTGGGGTCCATGCCCAGCACCTCGCCCAAAAAACACAAACAAAAACCTCAGTAAGTCCCAAGTAGAGGTTTTAGCTGCAGGTAGAGCTCAGTGGTAGAGCACGTGCTTTTTAAACCCATGTTTGCCAACCAGTCTTTCAACCACCCATTATTACCAGGAAATACTGATACACCACTGGGACACCCACAAGCACCACAGAGAAAGTCCCCATCGTGACATTGTGAACAGTTTACAAATATGTCAGTTCATTTCCCAAAAGGCCCAAAGCTACCTGGACCCATTGTTTTTGCTCTATCTAAAACATCCACCTGTCTTGCTTACAGCCATACCACTCACTGGTTTTAAACTAAATTAAAATAAAAACTTACTACTTCTTACCTCTAATAATTAAAACTGTTTCCAAAATACATTCCTGGAACATAAAAACTAACATTTGTCAAGAAAATAAGGTGACTCACACCTAAAGCTTTCAGAAAGCTCAGTCACACCTTCACATTTCAAGGTAAATAAAGTGAGGGAACACCCTTCCTATCAGTTAGTCTTCTGATGTTATCAATCCATGGTTTCTCCTCCATTTTCTAGATTCTGGTATCACAGTAGAGTCTAGTGCTTTCTGACTCATCCGCAGGCTGGCAGGCTGGCCCCTTCGCTGATGTGTGAATGGGAGTAACACCTAATAACTTAACACTTTAGTGCTTCTTGCCTTTGCAAAAGTTTTTGGATGAAATTCTTTGGTCAACATTTTTTTCTCTAGGTTAACTACTATGACAAGGACAATGTAAAACTGTATGGCTTCACAGTAGATGTGTCCTTTTACAAATGCTGGCAGAAAAGGGAAAAAAAGAAATGGATGTGTCTCTTGCCACAAAACTAGAGGATTGAGAGAACTTTTTACTACATGAGAAAAAAACAGTACTATAGAAATAAATCTGCTGGTACATTCTAGGAATGCAAACCCAATGAATAATAAACCATGAATAATAATTAGGAAATGTTATGGCACAGAAACTCTTCTGGGGGCACTGAGGATCAAAGCCAGGGTCTTAAGCATGTTAAGTGAATACTCTACCACTGACCTATATCCCCAGCCCTGCTCCAAGGTTATTAAAGGACATCATTATGATTATTTAGAACTTTCCCCAACTCTACAGGAACAATTAGGAAGATAAATCACTTACTAAAGAGGTCACATGATAGCGTGTATCACAAATTTAACTGGAGGTATATTTACATTATCCATTATTTTTATTATCTGTACTTTTTCTTAACCTGAGCAAAAGATAACAAAAACAAAAACCTCAGTTGACACTACTGTTTTCTATGCAAAAGAAAAATAGTTCCTAAAATGTGGATCTGCATTTTACCTAGTTTACCTACAACCTTGTCAAGATCAGTTTTGTAAAAAGCTGTGGTATCACTAAAGTAGCATAAGAGAAAATATTTTCAAAAATGTGGGCTGGGGTTGTCATCTAGCTCAGTTGCAGAGAGAGCATTTGCCTAGCATGCATGAGGCCCAGGGTTCCATCCTTAGCACTGAAAAAAAGGAAATCTTCTCAAATATTTTTTAAATGGTGAAGTTGACAAATGTTTCCTCCAATCCATTAAAAATACAATAAATACATTTAAGCCAGGCGCAGTGGCACGCCTGTAATCCCAGCAACTTGGAAGCCTGAGGCAGGAGGATCCCAAGTTCCAGGCCAGCCTTAGAAACTTAGCAAGGCCCTAAGCAACTCAGAGACTCTGTCTCTAATAGAAAAAAGGCTGGGGACACATTATTACCCTATATACATATGTAATTACACAGGAGTTGGGACTCTGCACCATGTTCAGCCAGAGGAAGGAGTTGTACTCCATTTGTGAACAATGTGTCAAAAGTGCATTCTACTGTCATGTGTAACTAATTAGAACAAATTTTAAAAAATAAATAAAAAGGGCTGGGGATATGGCTCAGTGGTAGAGTGCCCTGGGTTCAATTTTCAGTTACAGCCCCCATACACACAATTTAAAACATAGGGTATATTTAAAAATAACACACACACACACAAAAGGTATCAGTCTCTCTATTGTGTCTATTTATCAACAGCCAGAACAATGGGGCCACATTTCATTCAGTGAACGTTTTCAGGTTGCTTTGTTTCTATTTGAGATGTGGAGTCTGACACAACGGCCCAGCCTGTAATCCCATCTATTCCGGAGGCTGAAGCAGGAGGATCACAAGTTGGGGCCAGTGACTGCAACTCAGCAACACCCTATCTCAAAATAAAAAATAAAAAGGGCTGGGGTTGTAGTTCAGTAGTAAAGTGCCCTAGATTTGATCTCCAGTACAAAAAAATTTAAAGACATGGTTCACTAGAAGTGCAGAACGGCAGGTCAAATTTATACCATGTGGTTTAGACTAAGTGCAAGAAAGTTCCACAGATCAACCAACAGAAGACAAGGCAAAGTGCCTAAAGCTCCAGTCTCCTGGTGCTCAAGGCTTCCTCCTACTAGAGATGATTTCCTGTTGGAGTGTATTATCAGTACACCTAGAATCCTTACTCATTCTTTCCTATGATAAAAACTTAAGGACTTTCTACCAAGATTAGGACCATAAACTGCCTTTCAGGATTATGCAATCTCACAAGTGTTTTTCTCTCCTTACCTCAACTCTCACAAACCCAAACTAGATTTATAACAGAAATGCCTCAAGAAGATTCAACCGCTGGGCAAGGAATCAAGACTGCAAGACAGTGCTGGAGGACAAGCTTTATATATTAAGTCACCTTAACCTTTTGTTCAAGCTATGCTGTGTCCCAGGAGAACAGTGACAAGAGCGTATTCTTTATTTAAATTGTTATAATTAAGCTTCTATTTCTCAAACTAGAGCCTGATAGACATGTTCTTAAACCACAAATAACATTTAGAAACAAATGTAGATTTTCTTGATGTGATTCAGAGTTATAGAAACTTAGAGAACTTTGTTTATCAAACCTAGACCACTCCACCCACAGGAGCCTGGACGCTCTCCTTACCCCAATCACTCCTGGAGCAGGGCACATGGCACACACCTGTAACCCTGGCTACTCAGGGAAGTTGAAGCAGAAGGACCACAACAAATTCCAGGCCAGCAAGACCCCTCTCAAAATAAAAAACAAAAAGGGATGGGGTAAAGCAACCCTGGTTCAATCCCCAGTACCACAAAATAGATAGGTTAGTGAATACACACTCTGGATTCTGCATTCTCCCCGGTGCCCTTACCATCAGCGACGCTTCCTTATTTTTGTATTTGATATGATTCTACATCTCCTCTTTACATGGTCTGTGCCTCTCGACTTTTTTTCCCCTACCAGAGATTGAACCCAGTGGGTTCTCCACCATTGCTCTACATCCCCAGCCTTTTTATTTTTGAGACCGGGTCTCACTAAATTGCTGAGGCTGGGCTCCAACTCCCTAGTTGCTGGAATTACAGGCATGTGCCACCAGGCCAGCTCCCAATTCTATCTTACATATTCTCAGGGTCCAGCCAGTGCCCTCTGACTTGTGTTCAATAGTGTCTATAAAAGTTATTTGGTAAAAAGGCTTTAAGTGAAAGGCTTTATCACAAAGCAGAGCCTGGGCTAGTCAAAACCTTTCTGATCCCATCTTCTCAACTCATACTTCTCTGGGAACAGACTACATGATCTAGGCTTCTTTTGGCTCTTCAACTCATGAAAAGCTTGCTGAAAAAGTCCAGTGTCTGCTGATCACCTTCAAATTCCAGCTGAAAACCTCCATCGGAAAGCATTCCCTAACTAATCCCCATGGACTACTCTGCTCACCGAGCCTTGAGATTTAGGAATTCGGTGGATACCAAAGTAATTATCAGCAGATTGGCATACCGGTGGTCAAGGGTGAAAGCACTTAATGTGAAAAGGTAGCAAGGTGGAATGAAAAGAGCAGCGACTCGAGTGCAGAGTGCCACTCCAAGGTAAGGTGATAGTGCTAATTTCATAGATTAAATGCATACCAATGTGAGAACTAGAAAAAGCCACAGGAGGAAGCAAACCTAACTTTAAGAGGGTTGTTTAGTTCACCGGGATCCCCTTTCATTACTCGATGCACCCCAGAGCCACGGAAAGGGGGACATTATGTGACAACTTGGTTTCCCAAAAGCCTTGTACCCGTGCCCAGCAGGTAGGATTCCCCCAAACCTTTTGCTGCACCTTGCATTCAAACGCTCCCCATGCTCGGGAACACCTGGCCCTCACCCCCACCCTGAAAACGAGAACCAGGCTCAGGGAAGAGATGAGGCGCCCGCCGGGGTCGGGAGCGGCCACGGCGCCCCCAGCCCCCGGCTCCCACTGCCGCGGTGCAGAGGTCCCGATTCGGCGGCTCAGCCACCGGCTCCGCAGCCCCGCAGTCCCCCGGCCCCGCAGCAGCCCCGCAGCCCCCCGCCCGCCGGCCCGGCCCCGCGCACCTTGCTCTTCACCTCCATGGTGCCCAGGCAGCCGCTGCCCGCCCCGTGCCGGTGGCCGCGGTTCATGCTGAGGCGCGGCCCGCGGCGGCCTCCTCGGGCCGGCCGCCACTCAGGAGCGCGGGCAGCGAGTGCGCGGCCGGCGGGCTCGGAGCGCGGCTGCGGCGCGGCGCCCGGTCACAGGCACCTGCAGAGGGGGCGGCCGCGCCTGGGGCGGGCCGCGCTCAGCTCGGCTCGGAGAGCTGCTCACTCGGCGGGACCGAGGGTCGGACTGGCGACGCGGCGGGCGGGGACGCGGCTCCCTCCCTCCGTGCCTCGGGGGCGGCGGCAGCCGCGGCGGAGGAGGAGAGGGCGGAGCAGAGGCCAGTGGCTCCGCAGCCTCGCTCTGAGTCTCCTCCTCGGCGCGCCCGCGCGCGCGAACCCGAGCAGGCCAGAGCCGCGGCGCGTGCGCGCGCTCACCTGCCGCCTCCGAGCAGCCTCGGCCACTCGCGCTCCGCCCACACCCAATAGGAAGCGCGCACCTGCGCTCGCAGCGCCAACCAATCGATACACGGCTCGCCCGGCGCATGGGCGGACCGCCTTCTCCAAATCCCCGCCCACAGCCACGCAATTGGTCCCGCGCTGCAAGGGAGGGGCGGGATCACCTGAAGCCGTGGGCCTACTCTAAGGACCCAGCAAGAGATCTGGAAGGCGCATGCGCTGACCCTGGAGTTTCCGCCCCGGGAAGGCAGCGCAGGGAGACCGGCCGGAAGCGCGAGCGCACCTGGTGGAGAATCTAGAGATGTGAACTTATTGCGCACGCGCGGACGCGCGCCTGGTTGCCCAGCTGGAGCTCGCGTTGCTAGGCGCGCGCCAGTCAGATGCCTGTGCTTGGGGTTGGAGCGCGCGTCCTTGTCAGTCGTCGTGGCACGATGGGGCTGTTAGGATTCCCCGTACCCTCCTCCTCGTCCATTCGGGATGCCCCTCGGCCACCCTCTCGTGTCGGCTGCAACTCTTGGTCGCAACATTCAAGTTTTCCCGCGTCTGCAGCATTACCCGGGAGAACCTCGGTCCCGCTCCGCACCTCCCTGCCCTGCAGCTCCGCACCTCCCTGCCCTGCAG